ATCTAAACTTTCCCTCTTCCTTCTAGACCTTAGTGGATTTGGACCCAAGTTACAGTGTATTCTAAGCGTAGATACAATCACCGAAGTTTCCTTATAAAGTGTGTCCATAGAAATTTCCTTGGTAATATAAACATTAGGACTGTGGTTGATTTCCAGGGCTCCGTTAGATTTTGTTATAAAGCTTTTAAAGTATTGTTTTATTCAATACATTCACTTGAAATATACAAAAAACAATTCATGGAATATTTGTATTGTGTAAATTCTTCGACGAAATTGAGGTTTAAGACTTGACTTTGAAATCGACATGGAGTTTAACGTATATATATATATATGTGCATATAATATATCCCGTTGCTTTCTTGTTCTTTATTGAAACTCAAAACAATACCTACTGAGAAACTTAAAATAATATTTACCACGATTTTAGGTTCAATACCTTATAAGTAATATGTTTCTAACAATATAATGCTATTGTTTTTTTAAAATATAATAATTTTGGTGGTAATATATTATATTGGATTAAGCCTATATGAGCTTAAAAAAAAAAAAAAACACACAAACACAAACGAGAAAGTTACAAGAAATAAGTGAATCCATTACCTTAATTGTTTGTTTTGTTAAGTGTTTTATAACATAGATATTATATTATATAACTAGGTACCATTAAATGTATTCACTTTAATTCTGTTAAATTTTAGATAAAATTTAAAATTATTAAATTTTTTTGTTTTATCGATAGGTCTAATTATTTAAGTAATCTGCAATTCTATTTTATTAAAAAAAAAAAAAATAAATATTTTACGCGATTCTGGATTTTCACAAAATTTTGTTGTTGTTTTTGTCGTAATTGGAATTGAAAAATGAATAATAACTGTCAAGTATTGAAATGTCCCCAATTAAGTTAAAGTTAGTATTTTCTATACAAAGTTCCTCATACATCTTATTATATGGAATAATATTATCATCACTATTTTTTCTAATAAATTCTATTGGTTTTCGGAAAAATTAGTTCGACTTACCGTTATTACTAACATAAATATAAATCACTAATAGCAATAATCAATACTTATATATAATATACCATACCCTTAGAAAATAATATATAAGCAGACAATCTGTCTCCGCTTAGAATAATTTTTCATCGTATTCATGATGATTAATAATTGAATTCAAATTTAATACATCCGTTACAGTAGTCAGTGATCTACTCAATGACGAGTACTCAAAATAACTATAGGCATATTATAGCAGTATTTATAGACGTCTCTGACTTTTTTTCATTATTAATAAAGACCGGCACCATGTTCAAATATCAAATAGAAAAATAAAATGTCCTTTATAAATTCCAAAATTGTTTAGTATATGTATATGAACACATGTGTATGTATAGAAAAATAGATTTTCTACGTAAAATTCGTACCTAAAGTCCACCTAAATAAAGTCGTATATTTTAATATGCTCTTCGTCTTTCTACGAAAGCTATTATTTCCATGCTGTGATTTATTTATTGTTTTTCACTTATATCTAATTACGACCACGTGGATTTTGTGTTCCCAGCATATTATATTATTAAAATGGAAGAACAAAACGAAACTATGTTATTCATACATAACATAATGGTTGTAAATTTGTAATCCATTATTTGTAATAAACAATAAATTTCGGTTATAATTATATTACCGAATACGCGCGGTTGTTTCTACTTAAATATAATGATTATTCATGGTTAAATTATTACATAACTAACTGAAACCCAAATATGAATATAATAAATTTAGAATTTTAGATTTTGCGTGGGGCGATAAATTTATTGTTTTTAGAACGATATATGGGTTTTTATTAGGTATTATTATTATTTTTATTGTTACTGGGATCTGGGAACATTTTTCGATGTATTAAAATTTTGACGAAATTAAGTACTAAACAAAAATAATGGTTTTAGTTAATTTGTTGTAATTTAAAAATATTATTCTTTCAGACTTGAAACTTTTTACAAAAACACAATACTATTTTCTAAATATCAGTTCGACCAACCATATTACTAAAAAAACAACATAAAATAGGTACCTATAGAAATATATCATAAAAAGTCAGCATCAAGAAAATTATTTTCCTTTTTCAATCATGTATAGCTATCATTGAATTTGAATTCAAACACCACATCCATTACAAGGACTGGGTGACGAACTAAATGACATGGTTAATTCCACGCATTTTGTACGGTAGAACAACTTATCCAATTTTTAATTATATATTTATTTTGTTTAACAAAATTGAATTTATGAMTTTAAATAACTTATCATAAATGTTGGTATTAGACAATTGTTATGTTTTATCATCCTCAATAGTTCAGGTGTAATTTACATGAATGTTCTTTTGGTATATGTATATTTTATTTACATCATATTGTTATAACTGAGGAAATTCAAAACGATGAAAACATAGTTTTAAAAATAAAATATTCAATTTAGGTACAGTATTTCGCATGTAGTCTAGTCCTGACATAGTTCTATATAAGCTGTATAAGTATTGCTTCAGGCTACAGTAGATTATTTAAAATAAATCGCGTACAGAACAAAAGGCGCATTGTAAGCAGATTTTGATTAAACAAACGAACAGTTTCGTCCGTGTATCGGTACCCGTACCTACCAGAGTATATTGGATGGATGTTGTCTTATATGTTACTCGCTGTCGAATGTATAGGAAATGTTTGCGGTGGCTGTGGAGGTGATGGCGGTGGACGGTGGTGGTCGTTGTGGAGGTGGCGGTGGTAGCAGTGTGATGGGAGTAGGAAATTGCTGTGGCAGCGGTTTACCCGTCTCGTGACTTGAACGTAAGAAAATGCACGTCTGTAATTGGAAAATAACTCGATTTTTGTTCTACGGCCAACCGCATACAATAATTCTCGTGGTGAATCCAATTTGATAGTTCACTGGGCCAACAGTAAGGGGCAGCCGTATTTCCATCGTGATTTTTTTCCTCAGGAATTTTTATTCGAAATCATCATTATATTTATATTTTACCTCGTTTTTTTCTTTTGATTTTTTTTCTATCTCTTCCGTCTGCCTTCCTGTCATTCTACATGCTACATCACATCCCTTTAAGCGTAAGGTGTTTCGTTGAACAAAGGAGGCGGTTGCTTAAAATGCCGGACGCGCCTCAAGGGAAACAATAGCCTAGTCGTGACGGACGTCGTTTTCCATTTCACGGGGTGGGTTTTCTTTGGAGTCTTAGAAAAATAAATACGATTGAATAATGCGAGGGATATAATAATTGTTTAGTGAATTTTCGTGTTAAATGTATAATAATAATACTACTACTACAACTAATAATAATATTATTATTATAAAATATAAATATGATAAATTTGATTTCATGATGGACTGCAACAAAGAATAACAATGCATACGTATTTCAACATAATATAATAATATGTACGGCGGCTCATAGTCATTAAAATATTATCATCACCCGTTTTTAAACTTATCCGACTCCTGCTAAAATAAGCTACTGTGATTGTGATTCATTACATAATTTATTACAGTCTTCTCCTTCCTATGTATCCCGGAAGTATTATCTGTATTTTCTGTGAGAAATCGTGCCACTCACTGCCTTTTTCGTTGTTGCCTTCAGCTGATTTTATATACAGAATATTGTAAAATACTTTATCGTGCACTGTCAAACGGTGTTATATGTTAACTCGAGAAACCTGAAATTAATTTACGTTATTAAAATTTTTAGGTAGGTTTTTTCTTGAATTTACGATTTACATTCAATTCATTTAAATTAAAATATAATTTAATACGACGTCGTTTATACTGTGCTAGACAATTGCTTAGGACGAATAAATAAATGCAAACAATTTTATTTTATACATAATCGATATTTTTAATCTTGTTTTCTCTCACATTATTTCAAAGTTAAACGTTTTCATAATACAATTTAACTTATATAATTATACGTATACTTATTGACTTTAAAATATTATTACAATAATAAGATTATTACAAAATATGCGAAAATTAATGACTAATTAGATAACATTATTGCAAACCCTAACTTATTTATATATACAATTAAGTACACTCAGCACTTATTGTTTTATGAATACATTATTTTATACCGATCAATACTATCTATACTTACCTTCGGCATTAACATTTTTAATTTAACGTGTAAATCCTTAAATTTGTTCCGAATTAATATATATATATATATGTAAATATCTCTCGATTGGGAGATCTGCGATATTGTTAAGTCACTACGACTGGACGATAAAGTTATCGTTAATCACGCAATATATTGCAAGCGGTTTACACGTTTTAATATGGATAAAGTTTTGATCGTCATTCCGGGTCCCCTCGATGAATATTTATTCTCATTATATCTACCGATTTCGATCGTTTACCACGCTAGTAAAATAATACACTTGCTATTCACTGCAGTTGTAAACACAATCGAATGTCGACATCTGCACCTAATAAAATATTTCGATTTGTTCATTTGAATACAATCGCTTAATCATAAAATACCATATTTCAGCGCTCGCGAGTGTTGGAGTGTGTGTGTGTGT